CTACCTCTTCCCACCCCATCCAATCGTAAGAGGGGTAACGCGATTGGCCGTAATTCGAAAATTAATTCGAGAACTTCCGTTAGTCTACGTTACGGAAATTAAATCCTTAAATTATTTCTCACGACTCCCGAGGACCCACCGTCAAGTTCCTAGTTCTGCGCTTGGCTTTCGGCCTTCTCACTGTAGGAAGGCCGATATCAACGTCGATATTAATGGCATGAGCTAAGAGGGTATTCCAGGGAGAATAATGGCGCAGCTACAACGAGCGACACAATAACGAGATCGTTTCGTATACGTTTAAACGATTCGTTGGGTAATAAAGACACGAGAAATTAAGGATAAACATGAAAATTAGTAGTTTAGTTTATCATTCGCAATTTTAATGAGCTTGTAAATAATTGAGTGTCTCAAGTTCTCTTTGTATGTTATTATACTATACTATACTATACTATGTTTACATATACCGTTGTTCAGTACCACATTCATTGAGGTACCAACCGAACGTAACTTTTACCACGTGAATCAAGTGGACTTGCTAGCAAATGCGTCTGATGCATTTGGATTGAATGACTAATTTTTTTTTTCACAGTTTTTCAGAAAACTACAGGTGCCTTCATTTTATCCAGACACGAGGCTCCATCGTGAACTTATACAAAGTAGGTACGAGTAATTGACAATAATGTCAGGAAGTAAGTCGACCAACTGCGCGCGGCATAGTAGAGATTTTATCGAACTCGCGCGAATTGATCGACCAATCGTCTCGCTAAATGCGAAACGTGTCGGCGCAATTTGCGGATTTCAATTTCGACCTCGATAACCTCAAAAAACCCTCGTGGTCGTCTTTAATTTGCCGCACCTGCAAACTGGGCTTCAGCTGCAGTGCAGTTGCGACCTGGGGTCACGTAACGAAAACGTAACCCGGGGTTTTCCATAAATTTCATTCGAGAGGTCGAATCTCGTTAATTGTCCTATACGAAACTCGAAGAAAATTTCGATTTTCCACAAATCTTTCGTCTGCCTTATCAGCCTCGTTATCTCCTCTTACGTATATTACCTATATACGACCAGATCCTTTCGCTGCTTCACGACCTATTTTTCATCTTCGTTTCACTTTGCTTTCTTTCTCTTTCTCTAATCTCCGTCGCGGCTCTGGAAACTTCATAAGATATCTCCAGCATCCCTGGTCCACGTTAGTGGAAATGGGGATGTATACGTACGTGCGTCTTCCCTTCACCCGATTATCATTCTCTTTCTTATTCTCATTCCCAGTTACCGTATTACAAACCTTTTACTTTTATTTCTTTCTCTCCCCCTCACTTCATCATTCTTCATCTTCGTACCTTCTACTTACTTCGTCGCCTTCGTCGCCATTCTTATTCATCCGACTTCACAGCTGCTCGTCTTTCCAAGAGATTTAGAGTACGCGATGACGAAGCGTCCTACTCCTGGACCAAATTCCTGTGCACGGAGACAAGAGCCATGGCTGCCCGTCCAGTTAGCAGTGAATCCCACTTTGCTGCACAGTATTCGTCAGTAACCAACCCAGTAAGAATTATCTTCGGAACGGTAATGGTTACTGGCTTGTAAATAACCAGTATAAATTATTTCACGTTGTTCACCACTAATTTTCTATTCTGCCTGGAACTCGCTAATAACCAGACTGGTAACCCATAATTGTGGTTAACATAAATTTTGAATTTTTTAAATGAATGTACATTTTGTTCCCATGTACAATCTCCGGATGATTTCGCGAATAGAAGCAAACGAATGGTCGTGCAGTTTTTTTCGCAATTTTCAATGGCGCAGATATGAGTTACAGATCCGATCGGTGCTTCTAAAGATGTATACTGGGATCTGGCATAGTAGAGTGGACCGAAAGGAGGATTCTTGAACTAGTCAAGCAACATGAGGATCGACTTCTTGTGTAATCTATGTCTATATACGTATATCTATATGCTTGCTAAATGTCCTTTAGGATTTTTTTTCGACTCTCTGGAATATTTAATAAGCCGGCACCTTTCATATGTCGACCATGATCGATTTTCCAAACGCGAACTTTTGGGCTGCTATTCATATTCTTTTTAATGGTCAAACGGATCATTATGTCTCACAATCAGAGGATTGATGCGCGAGTGTCAACGTGGCGCCATACGATATATAATTCGTTCGTATTTTAAAGGGGAAGGGGATTGGTATCAGTGATTGATAATTATTAAGGCTCAATGTCTCTGCACAGTATTTAAGCAATTGTATTCAAAGGCGAATATTTTAATACTTTTGTGTAAATAATGAAACGGTAATTAGTAAAAGTATTGAAAAAAAAAAGAATCTGCGATTTTAAATAATTTCACAATAGTAATTTCAGCAATCACACGACTACACGAGTCTCATACTCGTTCTTACTAGATACAACAGTTTTTGTAAGAAATGCTCAAAGAAAAGGCCGTCTGGCTTTTTTTTTTGACGAGAGCTGCCATTATCAACGTGCCTTAAAAATATTTTTTAATAGGTTTCCCCTTCCTTGAAGATATTTTAGATGCCTATGACGTCACTATCCTAAATTTTTAAGTAATTTTATAGTCATTTGTCCTAAAAATAATAATTTAACGTGTGCCCTCTGGCGATACGTTACGGGACATTCTTTGAGAATTTGTTACAAAAATATTTTTTCTGGACAAATAACTCTAAAATTACTTAAAAATTTAACATAGTGACGTGATAGGCATCTAAAATATTTTCAAGGAAGGGGAAACCTATTAAAAAATATTTAGAAGACCCTTTCTTTGAGCATTTGTTACAAAAACAAAACTGTTGTATCTAGCTGGTACGAATGAGTATAAGACTCGCCTGACGGCTCGTGTACTAAATTTCACACTCGTGTCTTAAACTCATTCGTACTAGCCGGGTAAAATGTAATTTCTCTCATGGCCGTGAGATCTTGCATTAAAAAGTATCGAATTCGTAACTTCTGGAAAAGTCGTTTAAATATTTTTACGTGGTTCAGAGAGTCACGTGGTATATATTATAGTTCAGCACTTTCGAAACGTGGAGGACGAAAACTACACGCGGCAGAGCGGAATGCAGGCAATTTCATTCGCGAAGCTTCCAGCCGACCGGATATTCACCTCCGAGACGCTCGGTGTTTCCGCTTCTTGGATATGCGCCTTTCTTTCCTGCATCGTATGTATATACTCTCTTATTGTTAGTGGCGTCGGTAACGAATTCCCTCTTACGAGTTCACAACCTATATTTATGATAGGTTTTTTGTTCTTGCTGCAGCTATTGCTTCTGCTCGTTTCGCAAAGCAAATTATTGTAGATTTCTTGCGAGCATTGGCCAGTGAATTAAGCCGCCTTTACAATGCCAGCGAGTAAACCGTGATTGCTCTATAACCCTTGGTAAAATTATATTCGAACAGTTTGCTAGCACGATTTACGCGTATAAGGACTTTGTTCCAAATACGTAATACACTAATAGTACATTTATGGGTAAATAATTGAAAACAATATTGTTTTTCAAAAGTTTTTCAAAACTACCCTCGGTGCTGCAATAAATTTTTTTCTTTCTTTCTCTTTCAAGAATATGGTACGCATAGAAAATAAATATTAGAGGCATTAAAAGCTTGTCGTTGAAATTATTCTTGGCGTATAAATACACTTTCTATGAATCTTTGAAAAAAGGAATTCGAATGGGGAAGATTACAGGGTGAATTGTTAATAATGAAGAAACGAGAAAACCGCACCACACAATGGTACTGACATTGCTCGCGGCGCCGACTGTGCATGTACTTCTCTTTACTGCGCCGCGAAATGTTATCCAAAAAGGGGTAGATGAAAAAAAAATACTTGTTCCCCGGTGATTTCCACTTTTCGCGGAAATATTTGCTAGGCTTATCCGTCTGGCCCCCGCACCCCATAACCTTTTCATTTCGTGGAAGAGTAAAACCCAGTGGTATCCCTTGGAACGTGTATAATAACAGTAAAGTAATAATAATAATAATCCGAAGCCGAGATTGCAGACTTATAAGAAAATAAGGTTTATACTTATATGGCAAACTTAAAATTGACCGAGTTTCCTTTGGAGCAGGTATAAGATACTGATACAAAAATTCTGTCAATACTTACTGGTTGCGATAAAACAAAATACACAGTACTTAATCCTCCGTAGATATTCATACTTATTCTTTTTGCTGTGCGATCGTATTACTTATGCAGTTGATCAATAATAACTTCTGTAATGTTCTATAGTATCAAATACGTAAAAATTTAGTTTGGAAAATCATTATGCGCTGCAAACCAGTTTAAAGATGTCCCCATTAATTGAAATCGATTCTGAGAAGTATCGGAATTGGAATATAAAATCAAGGTAGTCTGAGGATATAGTAAACAGAGGCGATACTCTCGAGTTTCTATTTATCAATTAAAATAGAACGCGAAGTGTTTCACGATAGGAAATGGAATGCGATCGTGAGGCTTCTCTTCGTCAACGGTAATCTGCCTTTCATGTTTCTGTCAAGTCTCCCTTCAGTTATTTCTATTGGACGTGTTAATTACGAGAGTAGGAATATTCAGGGATATGTATATATTTCATTGTGTATATAGTCAGCTTGATGTATACGTCGAAATTTTAATTGAAAGCCCTTTTTCAATATGTATTTGCGTTTGTATTTACACAACGAAAGCTTTTCGAATAGCCTAGAGCAACTGAAGACGACATTCGTATTGTCGGTAAATAAATATTCTATATTACCGACAATGATGCTACGTAGATGGCGCGCGCGTATACCCGCGAAAGTCCATTTCAAACGTGTTACCACGTTGCTCGAAGACGCCATAATCGTTCCCGTCGGCATTGTTACCAGCTCGTCATTTCAATCCTTGGAAAAGATGTACTGTCACGTCCGCTTACGCAATAGGCGGATTAACTTCTCCCTGAACTACGAGTGGGAGCTACTGGACCGTGAGATATGGGTATGTCGACGAATAAATGCAATTTTCAAGACTGTCGTTGAGCCAGACGACATGTATACGACACGACAACACGCCACTGCGGATACGTTTAATTTAGATGATTTAAAAACAGCCGATGAATCGTGTAGAATATTCGTGCTTTCTATAGGTAAATAGTATTAATACATTCAAGGAATAAAATGAGAAATTAATTATGGCAGAGAGATGGAGTAAAGGTAATACAGGTAGATACATAGACGGAATTTTTCTTAGTATCATTATTTATTTTAATGGTGCGGAAAGCTCCACAAATGACAAATACGTAAGTATATATTTTTCCAAAGGAAAATCGAATGTGCTATTTAGGATAATGGTGAAAACCAGCGGTAAATATGGACGGGAAGTATCTCTGCAGCAGAAGTCGGTAGGTAAAGAAGATGCGAGTAACAACTTTATCGACACTGTAGGTCGCCACGTTCTCGTGCGTACCGACTCGGTGAAAATGATTTCGTTAACCGTTGAGAATCTTCGAAACTGTGTATACACCCCGAACTCGCGCGTCGTAACGTTCACTGGTAAATTGTAATAATCGACGGAGAAGAAAGATGTGAATTAGAGTGAAAATCTTCCACCATGCGAGGGCGTTGAGTATTTTGTTATTCGTGTCACTGAACAGCAATCGAACATAACCGCGAATAATATTACGA